CATGGGGTTAATACCCCAAATTTATAAGTAATGCATACAACTAAATAGTGGACAAATGAATAACTTGATTGAAAAATGGTCAAAGGACTTGACCAGATATTTTTCCAAAGAAGACGTAAAAATGGCCAACAGGTGTATAAAAAGGTGCTCAACATCATTAATCATTAAGAAAATGAAAATCAAAACCACTATGAGATATTACCTCATACCCTAAGATATTTATTATCAGAAAGCCAAGAGATAACAAATGTTGTTGAGGGCATGGAGAAAAGGGGACCCCTGTACACAATTGGTGGTAAAGTAGATTTGTACAGCCATTATGGAAAACAGAAGGAGTTTCCTGAAGAAATTAAAAAATAACTACCATAGGACCCAGGGATCCCTTTTCTGGGCATATACTCAAACAGAATGAAATTACTGCCTCACAGAGGTAAGTTCACTGCAGCGTTATTCGCAATAGCCAAAATATGAAAACAGCCTAAGTGTCTGTCAATGGATGAATGGATAAAGAAATTGTGGTATACAGTAGAATATTATCAGCCTTAAAAAAGAAGGTCCTGCCTTTTGCCACAACATGGATGAAACCTGAGGACGTTATACTAAGTGAAATAAGCCAGACACACAAGGAAAGATATTGCATATTTCACTTAAATGTGGAATCTAAAAAAAAAAAAAAAAGAGTCAAATATGCAGATCGTGTTTACCAGGGGCGAGGGTGTGAGGCAGGAAATGAGAGATGTAGTTTAGAGGTTACAAAGTAGCAGATATGTAGGATGAATAAATGTAAGTATCTAATATACTATATAAGGACTATGGTTGGTAAAATTGCACTGTATTTGGGATTCCTGCTAAATGATTCGATTCTAGCTGCTATTACCAGAAAAAAAAAAGGTGACTATGAGAGATGATAGAATTTGCGTCAGTATAATTAACATTTTGCCATCTATATGTATCCCATACCATCACAGTTTATACCTTAAATACACAAAATAAAAATTATGTTAAAAATTTAAAATAAAGCAAAGTAACAGAAAAAAAAAAAAAAGGGCAGGTCAAACCATTGCTCTCTCATGGGCTGTTGTGGGTCCTGAATCACTTAGATTATGCCACTTCTATTGCAGGCCCAATCCAAGGTCATAAGTATTTTTTTTTAATAAGGAAAGAATGAAAGTAGATATTAGGTACGTATTACATGTGGTATAAATAAGTTCTACACCTTGTTCCTTACTCATCTTCACTTTATTGCATGTACCAGTTGCCTTTTGCCCAGCCCCTAGTGCAACCTGTCCACCACCCACATCCTCTACTGTGTTTGCTCTCACATCCATCTTCTTCCAGACAGTGAAATACAGGTTCAATACTTTGATGCCCCCTACAGCAAATGGCACCTTTAAAAACCTTTTCACCTGATTTCATAAATAAAGTTTCCTTTTCTTTGAAAAAGAGTAAAATCTCCCATCAGAGTCAGATGTTTTTGAAAGTGAACAGAACAATGCCAAATATGTACTCTCCTCTGAAGTAGGGTGGAATCCCTAATGTTTCACACAGTTATTATTCTGTAATCCCCAGTCTCCCTCAGCATTTCCAAAACTAAACAAAATCAGCTGGACTTGAAATACTAACTCAACTCAA